AGTAACAAACACATTAAAGGAGAGATGAGGATGATAATATTTCTTATATTGTTTAATAAGAAAAAGAAGTAAACCACACCAGAGTACCTGCCAACTAACCACATCTTTTATGTCGACTATAGATTTTTCTTCTAATGTTTCTCCCTGCGATACAGAAATGCATTTAAATATTCTCTAAGTGGCGACAATGTGGGCTCTTGTGGTCTAGAGATACCATGTTCGCCTTTCATTCAATAGGTCCCGAGTTGGAAGCCTGTCAGCGACGAAAAAGTGTGCTTCTCATAAAAACAATTCTACTTTAACTTTTCCTGCTTTCTAATTATGTTCTGTTATCAGATTTAGTCTCCACTTTCTCCCTCCCCCCCCACCTCTTTCTCTTTGCCCTTTCCACGGGGCTCTTTAATCTTTCTGTTGCCTTTCTTCGGCTACTCCTTGGCTCCTTACAGCTGCCTTTTACCCACACCCCTGATCTTAGGGTAGGTAAGATCTGACACCTAGCCTTCTCGGATGAAGGTGAAAAAATCTCGGAGGTCTCGTGCGCAAGTTGCGTATGTAAAAGATCCCTCGATAGTACCAAAATTGATGAGAGTAGACTTCGGCTGCCACTCGCTACCTCAGAATTATAAATTGTTCTATTTGCACAGCACCTTGTTTTGAGAAATTTGAAGAAAAAGATTTTGAGTTTCACATCATGTCAAGCTTTTTCGAATGCAATTCTTTGAATTTCCTGATAACAGCTCCGAATAATCTTACAATTTTGATAGAGCAGATAGAACATTTGGTTTCCGACATCATGGTCTTAGTAACTCAAAACAGCCAAAAATGTCACATAGAACTTTATAAATCTGAGGTAGCGATTGATTGAACTTTCAATTTTCTCATTCTCGGATGACAAAGTGGCCACAAATGAAGTCTGGGACAACGTCAGTTTATTACTGGGAAGATGTCATAAATTGTCACTTATGAAACTAGGGACATGGCTTGTGCGTACGAGATTTTATTAGGCCCTAAATCAGATTTGCATCCCGCTTTGTTGGCAATGCTCGCGATCTCCTCGATTGTTTTCAGCTTCTTGACAAACCTTTTTGCCCCGACTCTGAGGTAAAATGAAGCTGGATCTGTGTTCTTTTGGCACTTCTCCCTGAGCCTCAGAGTTTTCCTTCACTGATTCTCCAGACTGCTCCTTTCTGCTTTGAAGATTTTAGATCTTGGTTCAGAGTAGAAAGGTTCATTGGCGTTGGTTGTCTAGTGGTTAGGCTGTTGGGATCGCAACCGGAAGGTCATGGGTTCGACAGTGTTCGAAATCTGCTAGCTGATGACCACTTTCTGTTTACATGTAGTTTGCTTTAGTGTTTCTTAAAGCGAAAACCGATTAGGAAGGAAAGATTCCCTGGACACTAATTCGTGATAATTTGTCCAATGCTGCGTTTGGTTGGCTGTTTTAACTCCAATCGCCCCTTTGTTGTGAGGCGGTAGTTTTCATTTGACGTTTGTTTCTATAGTGCAGTCAAAAATTCGAGGATTAACTAATCCTCAAATATCTCTTTGACAGGTAAATCAATGCCAAGCAGCCCTTATTCCGCCGCC